ACGTTGAGGGATCGTTTTTTAATATTTTTCCAATAATAGTCAACTTCTGCTTGCTCATCGTGAATATCCGAATCCACTGTACCGACATACTTTTTGTACTCTTTAAAGAACCTCCGGAATAGTTGCCACATCTCGGACCGCCCATTCTCCTTTCCTTGTTTCGAAAGCTTTTACAATCACAACATCTTCTCCATATGATGGAATGTACATGAATATTTTCCTCTAATCACAAACTGTTATCTCTTTCATCGACATAATCTAAGAATAAAAACTATCAGTTCGCATATTTAAACGTTCAGTTTGTGAGACTGAAAAACTTCTGATTTGTTTGCAGGATTAAACTGTAAAGAGTAGAAGGCATTAGCAGCAATTTTTCTAAATGTTTTTTTCTTAATTTCCGTATGCGTACGGTTCTGAAACCAAAAAAGTCGATTTTCTCAAAAACCACTGGGAATTAAGCAATTTATATGAAGAAAAAATGCTCTACTTTCACTGCAAAGCTGTGAAAGCCAAGGTTTTTGTGTAGAATCAAAAATAATAAAAAAATTGGCGAAAATTAAAAAAAAAACTCGCAAGGGTCTATATACAATATATGAGTTTATAATTGTGAAATGAAATTGAAATAACAGTTTTTTTCACCTCGCGTAATAATTTTTGGTTTATCATTTGTTTTTATTTCGGAAGACCAGCAAATGATTGGGTTACAGAACGGTGGGTGGCATTCAAGTCATTGATAGGAAAAGAAAAAAAAAGTTCCCTGAACCATTCAGAAGGAAAAAAATTTCAACCTCAAATGACAAAAAAAAGAAAAATTATTTGAAGGAAATCTTACTGGATGAAAAGTCTGAAATCACTGAAAAGTTGAGAGATGGACGAACAAGCAAGAGGGTTTGAAGTTTGAGTGAGATATTGGATGTTGGAGGCAGAATCGATTGATAAGTTAAGCTGTGTAAGGTAGTAAAGTAATTGTTAGCATGATAATGAAGTGAGACTCCAATGCAAATTTTTAATCAACCAATTTTAAGGAGAGAATAATAGGGTTTTCACTTAGGTTTCACTTAGATTTTGGAAAACATTAGATGGTACAACTTCAAAGAAAAATTTTATGCAGAACAGAGTGGGAAACATTTAGATTATAAATTGCTTGTTGTAATATCCATATGTTCTCTAACGTTGAGCTATCGTTTTTTAATAATTTTCCAATAATAGTCAACTTCTGCTTGCTCATCGTGAATATCCGAATCCACTGTACCGACATACTTTTTGTACTCTTTAAAGAACCTCCGGAATAATTGCCACATCTCGGACCGCCCATTCTCCTTTCCTTGTTTCGAAAGCTTTTACAATCACAACATCTTCTCCATATGATGGAATGTACATGAATATTTTCCTCCAATCACAAACTGTTATCTCTTTCATCGACATAATCTAAGAATAAAAACTATCAGTTCGCATATTTAAACGTTCAGTTTGTGAGACTGAAAAACTTCTGATCTGTTTGCAGGATTAAACTGTAAAGAGTAGAAGACATTAGCAGCAATTTTTCTAAATGATTTTTTTTCTTAATTTCCGTATGCGTACGGTTCTGAAACCAAAAAAGTCGATTTTCTTAAAAACCACTGGGAATTAAGCAATTTATATGAAGAAAAAATGCTCTACTTTAACTGCAAAGCTGTGAAAGCCAAGGTTTTTGTGTAGAATCAAAAATAATAAAAAAATTGGGGAAAATTAAAAAATAAACTCGCAAGGGTCTATATACAATATATGAGTTTATAATTGTGAAATGAAATTGAAATAACAGTTTTTTTCACCTCGCGTAATAATTTCTGATTTATCATTTCTTTTTCTTCGGAAGACCAGCAAATGATTGGGATACAGAACGGTGGGTGGCATTCAAGTCATTGATAGGAAAAGAAAAAAAGTTCCCTGAACCATTCAGTAGGAAAAAAATTTCAACCTCAAATGACAAAAAAAAGAAAAATTAATTTAAGGAAATCTTACTGGATGAAAAGTCTGAAATCACTGAAAAGTTGAGAGATGGACGAACAAGCAAGAGGGTTTGAAGTTTGAGTGAGATATTGTATGTTGGAGGCAGAATCGATTGATAAGTTAAGCTGTGTAAGGTAGTAAAGTAATTGTTAGCATGATAATGAAGTAAGACTCCAATCCGAAACTTAAACAACCAATTTTACGGAAAGATTAATAGGGTTTTCACTTAGGTTTCACTTAGATTTTGGAAAACATTAGATGGTACAACTTCAAAGAAAAATTTTATGCAGAACAGAGTGGGAAACAATTAGATTATAAATTGCTTGTTGTAATATCCATATTGTCTCTAACGTTGAGGGATCGTTTTTTAATTTTTTTCCAATAATAGTCAACTTCTGCTTGCTGATCGTGAATATCCGAATCCACTGTACCGACATAATTTTTGTACTCTTTAAAGAACCTCCGGAATAGTTGCCACATCTCGGACCGCCCATTCTCCTTTCCTTGTTTCGAAAGCTTTTACAATCACAACATCTTCTCCATATGATGGAATGTACATGATTATTTTTCTCCAATCACAAACTGTTATCTCTTTCATCGACATAATCTAAGAAAAAAAACTATCAGTTCGCATATTTAAACGTTCAGTTTTTGAGACTGGAAAAAATCTGATCTGTTTGCAGGATTAAACTGTAAAGAGTAGAAGACATTAGCAGCAATTTTTCTAAATGTTTTTTTTCTTAATTTCCGTATGCGTACGGTTCTGAAACCAAAAAAGTCGATTTTCTCAAAAAGCACTGGGAAATTAGCAATTTATACGAAGAAAAAATGCTCTACTGTCACTGCAAAGCTGTGAAAGCCAAGATTTTTTTGCGTAGAATGAAAACAAATAAAAAAAATTGGGGAAAATTTTGAAAACAAACTCGCAAGGGTCTATATACAATATATGAGTTTATAATTGTGAAATGAAATTGAAATAACAGCTTTTCACCTCGCGTAATAAGATTTGATTTATCATTTGTTTTTCGGAAAACCAGCAAATGATTGGGTTACAGAACGGTGGGTGGCATTCAAGTCATTGATAGGAAAAGAAAAAAAAAGTTCCCTGAACCCTTCAGTAGGAAAAAAATTTCAACCTCAAATGACAAAAAAAAGAAAAATTAATTGAAGGAAATCTTACTGGATGAAAAGTCTGAAATCACTGAAAAGTTGAGAGATGGACGAACAAGCAAGAGGGTTTGAAGTTTGAGTGAGATATTGGATGTTAGAGGCAGAATCGATTGATAAGTTAAGCTGTGTAAGGTAGTAAAGTAATTGTTAGCATGATAATGAAGTAAGACTCCAATGCAAAATTTTAATCAAACAATTTTAAGGAAAAATTAATAGGGTTTTCACTTAGGTTTCACTTAGATTTTGCAAAAACATTAGATGGTACAACTTCAAAGAAAAATTTTATGCAGAACAGAGTGGGAAACAATTAGATATAAATTGCTCGAAATGAAAGAATGATTTAATTGTTCTAACTTATGGAATGGATTGTGAGGTTTTCAATTATTTTATCGAAGCAGATTCTGAAATTTGAGAACTCAAAGGCTGAAGTGATTCGTTTTGGAAATCTTTGGGATGCAACTTTTAATTCCTAGAAAAAGATTCGATGAGAAGCGTTGAGGAAAAAAGTTTTTATTGATCATATGTTAAGGTTTGAGTGATAGTTAAATAAAAAAAAGTAGCCGAAGAAGTTGAATTGCAATATAATTAAATCAGATCGAAGTCAAGCAAAAGAATTGATTGAGAGATTCAAATTTGTTTTTCTAAGTTTTGAGACCGAAATTGTTAGGAACTGCTAGAAAAGCAACAATGAGAGATAATAAAACTAAACCTGAGCTTCGATGTGAATTTATCAAGAAAAACTACTATTGGTTCATTCAATTGATTTTCGTTCATTGCTAAATATAATTTTAGGAAAACAATGAAGCTGAAAGTTCTTAATTTTGAATGGATTAGAGAAAGATGTTTAATCAAGGATAATTAATTTTCAGGGGGTTTAGGGATTTATGCTAGATTGAAAACCATTAACCCGGAAAAAATAGCTTAAGTTACTTCAGTTCATTTTCCGATAAGCTGATAATCTTCGGCGATACCCAAATCATTTATGATAAATTACTTCAAGTGAAAAAAAGTTATCTGATAAGATTTCATTCTACCTCAGCGATGTCATAAACCTATCCACTTAATTAACAATTGAACAAAATGTCCCAAAGAGTCCGGCCATATACCCCCAAAAATTAAATCCAATGAAAAAATTAATCTGATAAGATCTTTATTACGCCCCGAGAAAAAAAAGATAAGGCTCATTGAATAAAATATTCACGCGGTTTCGACAGGTTGACCTCTCTCCGAAAATAGGCATAGGCATGACCTCTTGTTACTCTATACCACTTATTAGATTCGAATCTGCGACCTACTGCAATCAAGAAACTTGCGTATCACGCACTATCCACTCAGCAGCGCAAGCTTAACAATCGACAAACACTTGTAACGAATAAAGGAGCTACAAGTGCTAATGAATTTTCAAATCTATTCAGCAAAAGTTGCGCCAAATACAAATAGACTCAGTTTTTGCAAGTAGTAATTAGGAATATGACAAACTGAAGGCATCTACACTAACTTTGCATGCAACAAAACGCAAAACATAAAGCCACATTATGTATAAATCAAGCATTTAAATAAATTGTGAGATATATTAAGTTAGAAAATTTCTGAAATCGAGTTTTCATTATTGTTATTTTGTTATGTCAGTTATGTTGTTATGTCAAAAAGACTTTGCTGTACAAGTATTTTTCAAACTGGAAGTTAGCTTAGTCTTCATCTAATTTTTTGACTTTCAGGCTTTTAAGACCAGGTTTTATCTATCATTTTAAAATTTTCTAAACATAGTTCAAGAAAACAAGCATTTAAATCACTTTGGTGAACGTAGAAACTCACTTTTTCTTTAGTTTTAATTAATAACCATATTATTTCATTTCCGTTAAAAAAGCAGCCATTTTATCAAAAAAATGTGTCCAGTTTAAGATTCTATTGGATATAATATTTTGAGTACAAGAGTAGCGGGCTTCAATTGGCGTGTCGTTACTGTATCTAATTTTGCGTCTAAAAACACTCAAATACAGAGCTCGTCTTCACCGTTGATAATCAAACAAAAACTTTAAAACACCCTGAAAAATCTTTTCGAAGTTCCCGTTTTCAAAAAAGAGCACAACGTTTTGTTTGCATGCTGAATCAAAGAAACACATCTTGTATCAAGAAACATCTCAATTTTAATACAACTTACATTCATATTTGCTATATTTAAATCAAACGTCACTTTTATAAATATAAACTATCTGATCAGCGGTTCGTTAAATTCATTGCTCATCTGATCAATATTAGGAGAAATTGATGCAAGTTTGGTCTCTTTATAATTTCTTCAACGAACTTACATCATTGTTCGTTGAACGCGAAAAAATGAGTATAAATAAGGAGAGATCGAGCAAAAAGTCAGAAAAACAATTTTCCCTCTCACAACATTTGAAGTTATTAAATCCAATTATTCGCCAAATACTGATCACTTATCGAGATAAAAACTCTTGAAACCAGTACATTCTAGCCAATCATTTTCCTAAACAACCCAAATTACAAACAATGTATGCTGAAGATAATGATATCACAGCTCTTGTCATTGACAATGGATCCGGAATGGTCAAAGCTGGCTTTGCTGGCGATGATGCTCCTCGAGCAGTCTTCCCTTCAATCGTGGGTCGACCCAAATACGATAGCATTATGGTAGGAATGGGAAACAAAGAAACATACATCGGAGATGAGGCGCAGTCAAAAAGAGGAATCTTGGCTCTCAGAAAACCAATCGAACATGGAATCGTGACCAACTGGGATGACATGGAAAAGATCTGGCATCATACGTTCTACAACGAACTCCGACTTGCCCCTGAGGAACATCCGGTGCTCCTCACTGAAGCGCCTCTGAACCCGAAAGTTAACCGAGAAAAGATGACCCAAATCATGTTTGAGACGTTCAATGTTCCAGCGATGTATGTTGGTGTCCAAGCCGTTCTATCACTCTATGCTTCTGGAAGAACAACTGGATGTGTTTTGGACATCGGTGACGGTGTTGCTCATACAGTTCCGATATACGAAGGCTACTCGTTGCCACATGCCATCCAGCGGATGGACCTCGCAGGACGTGACTTGACCGGATACCTTGCTCGCATTCTCCATGAGAAGGGCTACAATTTTGTTACATCTGCCGAAATGGAAATAGTTCGGGACATCAAAGAGAAATTATGCTATACTGCGTTCGACTTCGATCAAGAATTTCTGGAATCCGAAAAATCGAGCAGAGTTGAGAAAAACTACGAACTTCCCGACGGAGAGGTGATCACGATTGGCAGTGAGAGGTTCCGATGTCCGGAGGTTCTGTTCAAGCCTGAACTGACTGGAATGGAAGCAGGGCTCGGAGTCCACGAGATGACTTACAAAGCAATCCAGAAATGCGATGTTGACATCCGCCGAGATCTCTTCTACAACACTGTGCTTTCCGGTGGCACTACGATGTTCCCGGGAATCGCGGAGAGATTGAGCAAAGAACTCACAGAACTGAATGGCGACCGAGTAAGAGTGAAAGTGGTTGCACCTTCTGAGAGGAAGTACAGCGTCTGGATTGGGGGCTCAATTTTGGCTTCTCTGTCTTCTTTCCAGCAGATGTGGGTATCAAAAGAGGAATATGACGAGTGTGGACCGAGCATTGTGCATAGAAAGTGCTTCTAATTTTAACTGATGTTTGAATGTTTGATGCAGTTTTAATTTAATTTTTTTTAGGTTTGTAAAACCTGATATTTATTCACATTGTACATTTTTTTTTTAATTTTTTTTCTTCAAAATATAATATAATTTAATCCGAAATACTTTTCCAAAGTAGCTTTCAGACAGAGAATGATGTCACCATTTCACTACAAAAAAAAATTCTCATAGAAATCAGCTGCCTTAGCTTTAAATGCTCGCTTTAAGTGTTTTGTTCCCCAGCAAATAGTAGGTATGCGGCGGAGACAATTTGGTCAAAATGATGTCTTTAAAGTGATTTGTGAGAGCCCAGAAAATCAGACAGAGAATGATGTCACCATTTCACTACAAAAAAATTCTCATAGAAATCAGCTGCTTTAGCTTTAAATGCTCGCGTTAAGTGTTTTGTTCCCCAGCAAATAGTAGGTAACGTACCGCAGTTTACCATTCATTAATGGCTTGCAATTTCTGCCGCAAAATAATTCAATTTCTAACTTAAAATTTAAGGCCTCCCTCAGGGATTCGATACCCTACCGACCCAAAGGGTCTCCCTTAGTAATATTTTGAGATCTTCATTTTTGGCTGACGGACCCTAAATTTTTTCCAAAGGCGAATGGGGCGCCAATATATATTAATTTTGAGTGGGAAGCGCACGCCAAAAAACTGCAATTTTTAGGTCAAAATATTCCGAAAAGTGCGGCGCAGACAATTTGGTCCAAATAATTTCTTTAAAGTGATTTGTGAGAGCCCAGAAAATCAGTTTGGTCGACCTTAAAAAAAGGTCGATAACATTTCGTAATTTTTTCGAAAATCCGCCACCTCTCGAGAAACACCTAGATCCGCCCCTGGCTTCAAGTACAAAATAAGGATAGCCGGTTACTGTGCAAATATCACAGTATATTCCGACCATTGTCTTAACAAAAATACAATTAGTGTCGTTTTTTTTCTGTGTAGTAGATCCACCCAGCTAAATAGAAGAACCCTGTATGATGATCTTGGTGCGTAGCTTAACCACAGGGGACACGATATTTAATTCCAGCTGAATCCAAAATATGGACTCTTAACTTTTTTTTGTCTTGAAAGAAAGAAAGAAAGAAAGAAAGAAAGAAAGAAAGAAAGAAAGAAAGAATTTATTTCTCATGAGTTAAAACAAATTAAAAAAAGTATTTATTCAAAATTAACTTTAATTTATTTCGAAAGGACAGCAAACGGGCCCGGTAGGGTCTCAAAACGCTGCCCCAAATTAGCATAAAAATACATTTTATAATCACCTAGCCTTATAACAATTGAGCACATCATGAACAAAAACAAAAAAATACAAAAGTTAAGATTTAAAATTTTTTTCTTAATTGAACATTTCTTACAATTGGTGGGTTAGTGAATCAACCTCGATTAAGTAAAATAAAATCGGGAACCAATGAGGAAGGAAATATTTATTAAAAATCGAGAATTTTGCTTTTGTTCGGGTTAAAAACAAATTTTTGTAATTTTCGGTCCGAAAACTCGCTAGTCGTAGGCACCTTAATCCGGTTTTTATAAATTTTTTGAACTTAATCACTTTGATATTGCTGCTCCTTGTAACTGTGACATGTTCCTATAACCTCCATAACACCAATAGAATTGAATGGAGGCTATTTTTGGACAGAGAACAGCCAAATGAGCACATGCGGCAGCAATAAATGAACAGAAAACAGCAGAGAACAGAAACCTAATTCAAGTAGCTTAATAAGAAAACTAATCTTTTGCTCGAAGATATACTTACACAATTCCATGTTGTTATGGATATATGAAAACATCAGATCATGATAAATAAACGATATTTCATTATTTGTTAATGAAGTAGGTTTTTGGGGTAAAATATTTTGTTTCATAAGAGAATTAAATAGCTTAATTACACGGAACCGAATGGAGCACCTTTCAATTTTTATTTTTCATGGAGGATTTTTGAGTAGAAACAATTTTTGTTGTCTTGTAAATCGACTTGCAATTTGAGCTGAAAATAAATTATCAAGAAACTCGACAGAATGAAACAATTTCATCTGCTGATGTTTTGTCGGCTTAATTGCCACATCTATGATTGTTGTACTGTTATTTAAATTATTTTTTAATTTATTCCTCTAATTTGTAAATTTACTGAGCCTGATTTTTTTGTAATTTCATTTTTAGTTGAAACCGTTGTGTATCAATTATTGGAGCTTATGTTTTATCGGCTCAGTTACCTAATTTTGCGTCGCTTAATGGGAAAGATTAATTTTTGTCCAACGCTGTCGGTTCAGTTGCCTCAGAAAACGTTTTCAAGGCCGGTGATTGTGTTTATGGACGTTTTCGTTCAAATAGAACTTCATTTCAGGGATTCATGTTCCAGACTATGTATGTGAGGTATTGCAAGTGATGCGAAGCTCTGCTTCGCATATGTGGAACTTCAGCTCGAATTTCTTCACAGAATCATACCAAGATCGTTTTATGGTGGAAGTCCAATTGTAAATGTGTTAGAAATTTAGGATATCACGTTTCAAATCATTTTAAAAATTGTTTGCTTAAGCATGTTAGAGGCTACCGAAATTTATCGAGATGCATTTAGCGCCGAAATTATTCTTCTTAAAATTCCGTTATCAAGTCAACATTTTGATTTATTCTGAATCATGACTTATTAAGCAATAATCATGTAAAAGCAAATAACTTTTCAAGCAAATACCATAAAAATTAAGCAAATGCCATAGAGTTTTAGAGATTTTTGTCGAGAGCCTAACAAACTTTGCAATCATCGTAAATAGTAAATAAAACGTCAATAAGTTGCTCCTCTTGTTCTTTAATCGTATGCGTAAGGGTAAGCGAAAAACTAATATCAATAATTGTTATTAATAGAAGTAATATCGGCAAGCTGCGAGTAATCAGCTGTATGAAATAAGTAGGAAGTGTAAAAGTTTCAATCACTAACTGTAATAAATTGAATGGAGCCAGAAAAATTATAGAAGTTACAGCCACACAAGCAATGGCCCGCAGTCCCGTGCGCCCCTTTAATGGGTAGGGGGTACTGTGTTTCGAGCTATCCGCGATGTTCTACCTACAAGTGGTGGCGAGTGTTGCAGCAAAAAGGACATCGCCCCAAGAAGGAAGAAACGTTACAAAACGCACTAGCGTAGCAACCTGTGTACCCATTTTGGGAAGGAAGGGTCTGGTCTTAGACGAGCCACACTCCTCTTTAAACAAACAAACGGGCCCCAAGGCCAGTATCTGTGTCAAAGCTGGGTGAAGAACATACGAAGAAAGCTTTAGAGAGAAGGTTAGAGACGATACATCCGAACCCAGGACCGGGCATCAAAAAGCGGGTTGCAACGATAGATCGGATAGTATTTGTTTTAGTTTTTCGGGAGCTGCCTCTATTTACATTATTCTCACGTTGTCTTCGCCTGGTGCTTTCTCCCTAGTTTGTTCCCAAGCCTCGCAGATCTCTCCGTCGTTTGGTATTTCGTTCAGCTTTATGGCGGCTAATTTTTGCTATTGCGTGGCTTTTGTCACTTTGTTTATCCATCTTCTTGCTTAGATCTTATGTTGAAGCGTATTCTCGTCTCTCATTTTTTGTGTTTTCCAGAAATGTTCTTTGAATTGCTCTGCCAGTATAAGGCTCCCCGCCTTGTTTGGTATTGCAGTCTCGTAGTCCGATTTGTTTCAATTTGCTGTACATCTGTTTCATGTCGTGTTTACTCCTTGCGTCTTCACATTCTATTACGAGTTCTTTCCATCATTCGTTTTCCCACTTTTTGTTCCGACTTTCGATACGAAAGTAACGGAACATTTGTGCTCGGGGTGGGTTTTTTTTCTTCAGACAAATTTCGACTTTTTAACTAGCCATTTTTGACGGAATTTTTTAAATATCATTCGAAAGGTATTGTTGTCCTGAGCTCAAATTTGAAAAGATATTTCACCTGTGATCATTTTTCGTAAAGTTACGAGGGTTTAAAGATTGCCATTTTGGCCAATTTGGGACAATTAACGCTCGATATATTTCGCGCTATTAACGCGTAAGCGGAGAGTTAATCCGTCTTAGAAATCGTTCCAAATTGGTTAAAAGAAGCTTATTTGCCATAGTTGGTTTGTTACAAGGAGCGAAATCTATCCTTTTGTACTTTATATGGCGTGTGGGGGATGATTTTCCTTAAAAAAGTTTTGAAATTTTAGAAAAAAAAATTCTTTTGTTTTATTTCATTGAATTTTTTAATGTTATTACTACTCCATAAACCTTAAAAGGCAGTCGGAACATTCAGGGCTTCGCCCTGATACGAGCAGTCTTGTTCAGCTTTCGTTTCTATTCACGTCTGGTCGTTTTTATTTGTCCAACTATTTTTTCTGGTTCCAATTCCAGTCTTAATTTTCTGATTGCGTCTTCGCCCTCAATTTCATTCGTTTGTCAATCTTGGTCTCTGACCTTTCTTTTGATTTCATTCTTGAATCTTACGCCAACTTCCTCATGTCTGTGCATCCATTGGTTATTTTCACTCCTCGTGTCCTGAATTCCGCATGTTACTTTAGCACATTTTAGCATGGTTTTCGTGACTTGGTTCCATGCCGCATCATTTCTTAATTTTTTCCCATCTATCCTTTCTTGATATTCTAACATTTTCTTTTCGTTCTTCAATTTCAACCAGTGTATTTGCTAATTTTGTAGTCTTTCGAATTTCTCTTTCTTCTTGCTTAACTTAACTCGCATGGTCTTTGGTCTGTGATCTGACCATCTATCTTCAGTCTTAATGTCAAGTATTTGTAAATTTCTATGCCTTTTACAATAATACAGTCCAGTTCGTACCACGTGTGTGATCTCGGTGTGGCACCATGTACCTGTATACTTTTTCCTGTAAAAGGTGTCAGGCATACCCATCTCATTTTGTCCCATCTCATTTTCTCCATCCCTTCTCTTCCGATAACTCTTCGTCTTCCTCATGTTACTTTCTCTTCGTTTTTGCGCATTCCAATCTCTTATTATGATCGTTTCATCTCTTCCTATTTAGTTATTTAAATTCTATTTCTTTATTTTCCATGATCGATGATTGAAAAAAAAATTTTCAAAACAATGTTTACCTAATGGTAATAAAAAGGCCAGGCTTGAAGCAGATCAAGGCTCTTTTCCATTTTTCCACCCCTTCGTAAAATTTCAAAATAAATCTGTTTACACCAACACATTTTTAAGCAAAGTCATTTCAAATAGACTTTCATATAATGAATTGCAGACCAGGTCAAAGTGAGGGGGAATAAAAAAGAGCCCAGATCAGCAGTTCTTGTATCCTACTCTGTCAAGTAAATGTATTGAAACTTATTAGCTCATCAAATTTGATAAAAGCTTATTTGATAAATGCATTTCAAATAAATGCATGTTTGTTCCACGTGCTACGAAACATCGTTCACTGCTGCTGCATTGAAATTCAATTGAACTTTCAATGAATGAAGAAAAATTAAACTATGAATGTCGAATTCAAAAGCCTATTTCAAGGAAAAAACATAATTTGAAACTAGTAGCAGAGCTTAAAACTGTCTGAAAATACGAACAATTTCTTCGAAGTTTTTTAGTGGTAAAACATACATCAGATTTTTCAGCACCTAATTATACGACAGATATTTCAACTTTCTAACTTATAATTAAAGCACTTCTGCGTTTAAATGGAATGAGTAATGAAGTTACTACAGTGATGAGCCATTTTATGCGCTTTAGAATATAATCACTTACAAACTTAAACGATGTTTATGCCCAATGCATCGCTTAAAATTTATGAGACTGTTAAATATTTAGAAGTTAAACAGTTGAAATGTTGTGTTGATTTTAGAGCCACGGTGGTGTGTGGAGTATCCAGCAAGACCCTCCGCTAACAATAGGATGGGGAAGAGGTGACGCCATAGTTAAGAACTGTTTCCCTTTTAACAAAACATGCCAGTCAATTTACAATGAAAGCCAAATTGATCAATATGCATGATAGAGAACGGTTATTCGAGGATCGAAGTATTGGAACTTAGGGTATGTTCCTTGCCAAGTGGCATTTTGCAAATATACCAAAAATATATAGATTTTCGGCGATATATTTTTGGTATATTTGCAAAACTTTTGGTATATTTGCAAAATTTTTGGTATATTTGGTATTTTTATTGCAGAAAATTGCTATTTTTTAAACCTAGATTGGTGTTATTTTGATGATTTTTCTTCAAAGCAGTTTTTCAAGTGTCTTTTCTAAGACTTGGGTTAGGTTGTTTGAAAAAATCAAAGCGTGCTTTGCAATTAACAATTTTCGTTCAGGCGTTTACGATGACAATCTGGAAACTCATTACGAGTACATAGGGGGAATCTACATGGCATCTAATATAGCCGACAGTTGTCGTGTATGGAACTGCAAAGTCACCGATCCGGCCGACATTGTAGGACCTTTGGGGGACTTGGAGCACATGAAGTCAGTCTTCGGCAAAGGCCAGACCCTGGATGCTGGTAATCGAAGTGTAAACTAATGAAATTCACCACTGAATAGTAAAACCTTTGGCTGTAACAAATCACGCGTTGTGTGCCAACTGTAAGAACTATCATACTGCAGTTTTACTTGTATGAGTATCAAGCATTCTACCGTAGTTATCTGGATCCAGACGACGCCGCCTTCCAGTGGTGGATCCGACATCTTGGGCCCCACCAAGATGCAAATGGCGTCAAGCCCCCCCTCCCATTGGGTCGGGAGAAGCTCAGAAGTCTCCGGGTTTTCGGTTACGGAGCGTCTGAAGCCGGCCAGGCTGCTCCGTCTGCTCATCCTTATACTACTACTCCGCTCCGGCATTAATCCAAACCCTGGTCCAGGGCCTTACTTTTGCTCCCCTTGCTCTTTCCGCATCAAACGCACCCAGCCCAGTGTCTGGTGCCACATCTGTGGTTACATTCACCTTAAATGTAGTGGTCTTACCCACCTTAACCAACACCACCCTGACTACTATTGCCCTACCTGTACCTCTACCTACATTTTACCTCCCCAGGCACCAGGTCCTCTAACTTGACCACCCCCAACTCCCAAACTTGTTCAACTTCCCTAACCGCCCCCCAACCCCACCTCCCTAACCCCCCTCCCCCTCCCACCCTTCCCACCTCCTCGAATAAAAATTCCTCCTCCCAAAATCGCGCAAATCGTAATCGTGTAAATAGTGTAAATAACTCAAGTTCAAACAACCATTTTAATCATACTGCTGTTAATAATGTAAATAGTTCACCACACCCCGCCAAAGGCCTTTTAAAAATCCTTCAATTTAATTGCAACGGTATCTCCGGAAAAGCACCCGAAATTGCTGCTTTCTTATCTCAAAATCAAATTCATATTGCTGTCTTACAAGAAACTAAATTAAGAAAGAAATCTCGAAACCCCTCACTAGGCTCACACTACACTTTAATTAGAAAAGAGCGAGAAAAAGAAGGGGGCGGTCTTCTCATAGCCATACATGAGTCGATACAATACGAAGAAATAAATATTACCAACGATGGAACACTAGAGGCTATGGGCATATCAGTGGTAGCCAGTTCATCCAAGCTTCGTATTTATAATTTCTACATCCCCCATTGCTCGAGCTGTCCCCCTGGTTACTCTGCGTCCCTTGCCGAACTACTTGAACCTGGGGACGCCTTAGTACTCGGGGATGCCAACGCACATTCACAACTATGGAACTCCAACATCGAGGAAGATCAACGCGGCTCTGTACTTAGCAATGAAATAACCGAATCCACCTTTGCACCATTAAATGATGACACACAAACCAGAGTCCCTTTTAACTCAGAAAACCAACTCTCGTCACCAGATATTTCCCTCGCATCCCAATCGTTCTTACTCTCCACATCATGGACCCCAATTAAATCTCTAGGATCAGATCACCTACCCATTCTTCTAGAACTACCCTTGGATGATTTTATAAATTTTTCACCTAAAAGGACTTTTATAAATTTTTTAATAGCAGATTGGATCAAATTCACAGAGGAAATTGAGGAGGGTTTCTTTTCAGCGGTTCCACCTTCCGGAGTTGCCGCCGGAGAGAAATTCTTGAGGGACCTGGTGCTCAGGGCAGCACGCCACCACATCCCCGCTGGCCGTATTCGCCACTTCACTCCCTCTCTTTCCCCCGAGTCCACTGCCCTTGCCGCCGAAAGAGATTTAAGCCGACAACAAAATCTCCCCCCAGAAGTCATATCCCAACTGAACTGTAGACTCATGAAACAGACAGCAAAGGACAAAGAAAATAAATGGCGAGAATTCCTCCGGACTTGCGACTACCGCACTGGTGCCAGAAAGTTCTGGAAAGTGGTACGCTCCTTAAATGGATCTAAGCCCGTGGCAGGAAGACACCCCATTACTTTTGGTTCTAAACCCATACACTCACCTCGTGATATTACCAGCTCTTTTAACAAACAATTCACCAATGCCAGACCCCACGCCTCTGACAAACTCCTTCGTATAACGAGAAGAAAAATTGCCAAACTACCGCTGTCAGACAGCCCAATTTTTACCCCTGAAAATACTAAACAAGCCATTGCAGACAGCAAACCATCGCGAGCGCTAGGTCCCGACGGCCTTTGTAATATACACCTTAAACATCTCGGCCCACTTGCTACTCAATACTTAACATACCTTTTTAATATCTCTTTGTCCGAAAACATTATCCCCCAAATTTGCAAAAATTCAAAAATTGCACCGCTTCCAAAGCCCAATAAGGATCTTAAACAATCAACATCTTACAGACCTATATCCTTACTCTGCCCAGCAGTTAAAATATGGAGAGGCTCGTTCACCCCATCTTTACCAAACATCTCCCCAACGCCAAACACCTACACGGCTTCCGCCCTTTTCACTCCACCACCACAGCTCTCTCCACTCTCGAATTTTACATTTCAGACGGTTTTAACCAAAATCGCCCCCCTAAACGTACGGTACTGGCCACACTTGACTTATCTAAGGCTTTCGACATGGTGTGTCATCGCTCACTTGTGGAACTCGTTCATGACACTCCCCTCCCAAGAAGTCTAGTCCGCTGGCTAAGTAATTACCTTAATGGTCGACAGGCTGCCACCTCATTCCGTGAACACACATCCCCCCATCGAATAATCCACTGTGGCGTACCCCAAGGTTCTGTTTTATCACCCACACTCTTCAATTTTTATGTCCATGATGCACCGCCACCTCCCGATAATGTAAACCTTGTTTCGTATGCAGACGATTTCCACCCCTTCGCAAGCAGTTCCAATTTTGATATCGCCTCAAATTCCATCAATAGCTACCTAAAAAGGCTCTACGATTTTTTCACCTCACGCAAACTAAGTTTCGCGTCCTCTAAAGGATCAGTTACACTTTTCTCCTCTTATAACAAAGAATTTAATAAAACACCTAGTGTTCTTTTAAATAACGAGGCGCTACCCCTAAACAAAAATCCAACAATCTTAGGGGTGACATTTGATCCAACACTTTGTTTTGCCACTCACTGCAAACAATCCGCTGAAAAGGCCAGACGCAGGATCGGAATCCTGAAGGCATTAGCAGGATCAACCTGGGGTCACTCCAAAGAAACCCTCCTCCTAACTTTTAAAGCTTTAATTCGCCCCATACTTGACTATGCAGCCCCCGCATGGTCCCACGCATCAAGTAACACCTCCATAAATTGCCTGCAGGTTGCCCAAAACCAATCCCTTCGCGTTGTTACTGGATCAAATCTAATGAGTTCCACTGCCCACCTGCACAGTGAATCTGAAATCCTAACGGTCAAAGACCACCATACCCTTCTGTCATCTCAATTTTTTATCTCTACCCATCGTTCCCACCATCCCATTAATTTAATACATTCACATCCCCCTCCTCCCCGTCTACTTCGCCCCTCAATTATAAGCTGCTTCAAAGAAGACACCCAGAAAATTTTAACCGACTTTTCAGTCTACGCAAACCACCCTCTAGTTCTGGACGACCGAGACGAAGTCTCCACTTTTATTTTTAACTACTACAAACCAATTTTAAAAGACAACCATACCTCCCTTGTAACCAAGTTCCTAGCCGAAACCCCTCCGTCTAAAGTTATTTGTATCCCTCCCCCAAAGATTGACCCCTCTGAAAAATCTCTCCCACGTCCCACGCGCTGTAAGCTCTCCCAACTCCGGTCTGGCTACAGCCGGCTCCTTAACACTTAGCTATCCCGCCTCGACAGCTCCATCTCCCACCTTTGCCCAACCTGTTCCCTTGCCCCCCACACAACATGTCACCTTTTCAACTGCTCCCAAAACCCCCCCCCCCCCCCCCCACTCACCCCAGCAGACCTGTGGCTTCGGCCGGTAGAGGTTGCTAAGTTCCTTGACCTGGAGACAGAAGAGCCCAACCCGACCCGCGTGGGCTAACAACAACAACAACAACAACCGTAGTTATCTGAGCACAAAGAAAGCATTCGTCATTTTCGAGCATCGGTTGATTGAAGCTTACGTAGAATAGAGACAGCAACCAACATTCACGGATTATATGCAGGCGTATATGCAAGAATTTTTCAGGCGAGATGGTGTGGATGACAGATTGCACTCCCCACGAATCCCTCCCTCTTCCAAAGGGAACTGAAAGACAGTACTTCCGACTGGTGACCAGTGAAGTCAGTGTGTGGTATGCCGACCACTCCACTCCAAACCCACTGGGCATAAAACCACCTGGACATGTCAAAATAATACATGGCAGCAAGTTCGGAAAGAGTCCAAAAAATGTACTCAAGTCGTTCAAAAAGATGATGAAAAGAAAATAAAATTCAATAAGTTTTTTAAATGTTTTGCTCAAGTGTTAGTGAACGCTGTGACCGTCCACTTATTTAGGTCGTGGCCTTCATATTTTCGGTTTTTTCCACTTTCCCCCCTTATTGCATATTTTTCATTTATATTGTTGTTTTAAGTGTTATTACTTAGAACAATAACTACGGAGTATTTTGCTATGGTAGTCAAATAGTACCTTTTCATCTATTTCTTGAGGGGTTTCGTTTGAATAAAATGTCTGAAACAGGTACTGCCAGCGAAGATTTGAATCCTGCCGACAGCGCCATGCAAGATTCTTGGATTTTGGTTCCAACTATAGGTAAAATGTGCGTAGGAAATGGATTTTTTTGAGCCAAGCTCTGCTAGTCGTAATTACGAAGTTAGATAAAGGAAGTATTCTTGTTTGAATACCTCGCCCTAGTATACGAGCAATCTTGTTTGAATTAAATATCCCTTAGCGGACATGGAACCACATGCCTGAATCAATAGTTTTTGTTAAAATGGGTTAATTGATTTGTAATCAGCGTGCTACAAAATATCGGCCTTTTAGAGCTTGAACTAGGAACTAGGCGCTCAGTTGCATTTTTTGAACACAAAGCTAAACAAGACTGCTCGTATCAGGGCAAAGCCCTGAATGTTCCGACTGCCTTTTAAGGTTTATGGAGCAGTAATAACATTAAAAATTTCAATGAAGTAAAACAAAAGAAGTTTTTTTTTTCTAAAATGTGAAATTTTTTAATGAAAATCATCCCCTCACACGCCATATAAAGTACAAAAGGATAGATTTCGCTCCTTGTAACAAACCAATTATGACAAATAAGCATCTTTCAACCAATTTGGAACGATTTCTAAGACGGATTAAATCTCCGCTTACGCGTTAATAGCGCGAAATATATCGCGCGTTAATTGTCCCAAAATGGCAATCTTTAAACCCTCGTAACTTTACGAAAAAGGATCACAGGTGAAATATCTTTTCGAGTTTAAACTCAGGAGAACAATACCTTTCGAATGATATAAAAAGATTCCGTCAAAAATGGCTAGTTAAAAAGTCGAAATTTGTCTGAAGAAAAAAAAACCCAACTCGAGCACAAATATTCCGTTTCTTTCGTATCGAAAGCCGGAACAACAAGACTGCTCGTATCAGGGCGAAGTATCTGCCTGTTCCGACTGCCTTTTAAGCTGTATGGAAAAGTATTCGTTTAAAAAATGGTGGAATTTTCAAAAAAAACTGCGTTTTTTTGAAAATCATCCTTTTAACATGCGAAAAGTATGTTTCGTCTATAGCAAAGTGTTTGTTTAGTCCAAATAGTTTCTCTCATTTCAGGTCCAATTCGGAATAATTTCAAGAGCGATTAAACCCCGCTACGCTTTAATAGTGAGAAATTTATTGCGCGTTAATTGTCCCAAATTGACAATCTTTAAAAAGTCATAATTTTACGAAAAATGTATATATTTTTTGAAAATTGAGCTAAGGACAACAATACTTTTGGATGATATAAAAAATCCGTCAAAATGGCTAGTTTAAAAAAGTTCAAAAAATGGCTAGTTTGTCTGGAGAAAAAACCAACAGAGAAAAATTATTCGGTCACTTTCTTCGAAAATGGGAACCATAAAGCTCAATTGTGGTCGAGTGCTATATCATATCGATAAAAAAGTAAAGTTCAGAAAGCTGCTATCAGAATATAAGATATACAAAAATTGTTAACTTCGATTAGATTAGTTTTTACAAAAATTGGAGCGTCTTTCTCATTATAGCCGCCATCGAAATATTGACCGCATGAGAATTTTAACACAAAAATAAACTGCTGATTGTATGTAGTTGCGTTAGGCCGACAAAAATCATATCTACAGTCGACTTAGAAAGTCTCTAATTGATCTAGATTTTTTTTGCTTTTTTCTGCGTTCAGCACATTCTATTAATTCTGCTTGCCATTAGCTAGCGTTATTAAATCGGAACATAAAATTTCCGATTCAACTTGTCTTACAGAATCACCGAATAATTTTGTCAATTTTGATTTCGCAAACAGCAGACATATTATTAGCATTGTTGAGTTTTAAACGCCCATTCTATTCGATTTTTTTTTGGCGTCGCATGTAAATTTACCAACTAAGGTTTCCTACCCTTTTCGATTTTCAGGTATTCTATTTTTTGTTGTTTATTCGGCTTTAGGTACTAAGTGTGACAGAGTGGTCTCAAATCACCTAAATTTTTTAGAAACTATCTCGATCTTTTTGGAGCCGCCGCTCGATCTTTTTGGAGACTTTTTCTCAAATGTATTTAATCTGCCTCCTTATTGTGCCAACTTGTTTGATGTTATAGTTTTTATGACATCACCGAAGCAATGAAATGAAAACTCTTTTTGCATTAGGGACCCTGTTGGTTTCAAGAGCCTCTATCACACTTGTACCCTGCTTTTTTATATTGTCTTAAACGCCTCATGTTTTCCAAGTTGTCAGTTCATAACTGCTTCTTAAAGTTTTTTCGATGCTAATATAACACTGGCACTGGTATTACTTGGCAGGATTTTACTCAAACTGAACTTCATCTATTATTTAAACGCAATTCATTTTAGCTTCCGAAATATCATGTTTTTCTACAATTTCTGGAATCTATTATATATTTAAATGCGGGCTTCACTATCTCGCCATGTTTAAGCTTTTTCAACGTATTATGCATGTTTAAGCTATATCGTATATTGCAATGGTCAAATTTTTTTTCGATTTTCCAATTTGATTTTAGTGGTTATTTTACCGAGTTTAAATTAAGCAGCCCAATATCGAACTAGGGGTTGCGAATTTGGCCTCCAATTTTGAATGCCCGAATCATTTTAGTTAACGAGATAAGACGATTTGTGAGATTTTTTCAAAAATTGTCAGAAGTTTCAAATAACAAAATAATTTACAAAACTTGAAGTTCCCAACCCTGTAGTTGGGTGCTGTCAGAGTACTCTAAGGAGTTACAAATCTTGCCTCCAAATATGACTGTTCAAATCCTTGTAGTTTTCGAGATATGACGTTTTTTGTGATTTTTTCAAAAAATTTTCAGAAAACTGAATTTTTTTTTTTAAATCTGAAATTCCCAACCCTGTAGTTGGGTACTGTCAGAGTGCTCTCAAGGATTGCAAATCTTGCCTCAAAATATGACTACTCAATTCTTCGTAGTTTTCGAGATATGACGTTTTTTGTGATTTTTTCAAAAAATTTTCAGAAAACTGAAATTTTTTTTTTTAAATCTGAAATTCCCAACCCTGCTGTTAGGTCCTGTCAGAGTACTCTCAAGGATTGCGAATCTTGCCTCCAAATATGACTACTCAATTCTTTGTAGTTTTGAGATGTGACGTTTTTTGTGATTTTTTCAAAATTTTCATAAAGTTTTAATTAATTATTTTTCGAAATTTGAAAATCCCAACGCTATAGTTCGGTGTTGTCAGGGTACTCTAAAGAGTTGCAAATCTTGCCACATGCGACTGCTAAATGCGACTGCTCAAATGTTTTTAGTTTTCGAGATATGACGTTTTTTTGTGATTTTTTCAAAATTTTCAGAAAACTTAAATTATTATCATTCTTTTAAAATCTGAAATTCCCAACCCATTGTTGTTAGGTCCTGTCAGAGTACTCTCAAGGATTGCGAATCTTGCCTCCAAATATGACTACTCAATTCTTAGTAGTTTTGAGATGTGACGTTTTTTGTGATTTTTTCAAAATGTTCAGAAAGTTTTAATTAAATATTTTTCGAAATTTGAAAATCCCAACGCTATAGTTCGGTGTTGTCAGGGTACTCTAAAGAGTTGCAAATTTTGCCACATGCGACTGCTAAACACGACTGCTCAAATGTTTTTAGTTTCCGAGATGTGACGTTTTTTTGATTTTTTTTTTTCAAAATTTCACAAAGAACTTATCTACAAAGAAATTCAAAAAATTTGAAACTACTAACTTGATGAAGATACAACCTTATTGTCAGCGTACACCCAGGCGTCTCAAATATTGCCTCTTAATATGAATGCTCAAATCCTTTTAGTTTTCAAGATAAGACTTTTTAAATTTTTTTTTCGGGAAACTTAGGTTCAAAATTTTGGATTCCTAACCCTATAGTAGGGTGCTCTCAGGGAGTCTCAGTGGTTGCAATTTCTCCAGAGGCTCATTAAGTTTTCGAGATGACGCTTTTAAAATGGGAATTTCAAAAAGTTCGAAATTACCAACCCTGTAATTGGGTGCAGTCAGAGTACACTGAAAGTTTGCAGATGTTGTTTCCAATATATGCGGTTTTTCGAAAATTTCGAAGCACCGAAGGTGCGTTAAACGCTAGTTTTTTAAAAATTTAGATCCAAAAATTTTCATCAGAATTTGAAATTAGCAACATATCAGGTGCTGTCAGGTTACTTTCAGGGATTGCAAAGCCTGCCGCCTATATGTTTGCCTGAATCTTTTTTAGCTTCAGGGATGACCTTTTATATGATTTTCCAAAGTTTTAGATTAATTTAACAAAATTTGAAATTCCTGAGCCCTATAGTTACATGTTGTTAGGGTATTCTCAGGGGCTGCAATTCTTGCCTCCAAATTTGACTGCTCATATCATTTTAGCTTTCAAGATACGATGTTTTTCTATGATTTTTTGAATGATTAGATTTTAAAAATTTCGAAATTTGAAATTAGCAACCCTATGGCAGGTTGCTGTTAAGTTAATTTCAGGGGTTGCAAAAATTGCCATGAAAAATGTCTGCTCAAGTTCTTTTAGCTTTCGAAACATGACGTTTATTTTTGATTGTTATTTTCAAGAAATTTATTAGAAAAAAAGAAAACTACACAAAGTTTGAAATTGGAAGTTTGAAGTGCGGTCCTGTCAGGGTACTTTCAGGAGTTGCTAATTTTGCTGCCATTGATAGATCCGCCCCCTTTGATACTTTTTCAGAAATCCATTTTTGGCCGACCGACCCCAAAATTTTTCTAAAGGCGCCTTTGGCGCCAATATATACTAACTTTGAGGGGGAGCGCGCGCCAAAAAAAACGCGATTTTTAAAAAGTGCCCAAAAACGGCTTTTTTGACTGTTTTTTCAAGAATTTGCCTGCGGCGCAGAAAAAATAACCAAGATAGGGGCTAAACAGTGCTTTGGGGGAGCTCGAAAAATCAATTTGGTCGACCTAAAAAAAAGGTCAAAATTTTCGAATTTTTTTTGAAAATCCGCCCCTCCCCTCGAGAAAATCCTAGATCCGCCCCTGTTCATGACACAGGTAGGTTTCAAAAATGAGAGAGAAAATGTTTAGTATTGTTCCAGTAAGCAGTTTTTCTTGTAGTACCTTCTATGTAGCATACAATTTCCACTAGGACTTGTTTTACTAGAGGTGTGGGTTTCAAACTTCTTCGGCCAATGCCGGAGGGTTCCCATTGTCATCCGCATACTCAAGGTGGGAACGGATGCTGCAAAATGAAAGACACTACACTCGTCCAAAGAAGTAAGACCTTGTTGTCAGTTGCGCGCCAGGGTCCGAGGCAAAAAAAGACGTGGTACTATCAATAAAATTTAAGTTTTTTCAATTCGGTAAATTGATGATTGTTTCAATCTTGATTTTTTGTTGAAAAATTAGCTTGAATCAAGTCCGACCGAACACAATAAAAAAAAATTTGTCAGATTTTCATTTGAAAATTTAAAATTTGTTGGGTAATGCTATTGGTTTGTTCAAATCGCGATGCTTTTTTTCAATACTATAGTTTTACCTTACAAAATGGGGTTTTAAAATTGAGGGCATATCGATTTGCACGTGAGCTGATTAGCATGCGCTATAGGATTGTTTCCACTTTGATTTGTTTCAATGCCGTCTTTGATTTAGTAAGACCCCCCAAGTCTGCCCCGTATACAGTCAACACTGCCCGGGATGAAAAAACCAAAACGCCTGAAAAATATAACCTAATAGTGTTAGGGCTCATTTCTATTTTTGATTTGCTTTTTGGTCAATTTTTTTCACATTTTTTTTCTGAATTCCTAATTTTTCACTCCAATGATAGAGTATTTCACATTTAGTCAATTTTTCAGCTCGAATCGAGCTCATTTCACGCTTTTAATTGGCAGTGACTTAGTTTTCATACTTTTTCAAATGTTTCATCGTTTTGAAAAGAATGCTCAGTAAGTAAAATTGCTGAGGAATTGTCGGTTTCTTTCTTTTTTTTGTCTTTCAAAAAGTACCTGTTCCCCGCTTGCTAAGAAGCGGGATAGTTACTGTAGTTTTATTCTGATTTGAATTTTAAAATATCTTCTTTGCGCAATATAGCGCCTTCTAGATAGAATTCGCGAAACTACCGAAAATTTGCGTAGATTTCGTTTATTTTAGTTTAGAAAAATCGTATCACTAGAATGAATTTAAATGAGCTTTAGATTGAAGTTGAATATTTAGTTTGTTTTTGATTATTTAGTTTTTTTCCTATCAACAATTCAATATTCAATTTTTTTTTGCATAAAATATACGTCAGGAAAATGTCTTGATGTATGTTGATGATTTACCCATTTTTCAGACTAGTATTGTTAGTAATATAATAATAGAATAGTATCAGCTATAGACTATTATTATCAAGAATTGAAAATGAACGGTGGAATGGTCGGGCACAGTCCCTACAAAAAGAAGATCTGCAACAACTTCGCTAAGGGAAATTGTCTGGCTGGAAGCGATTGCACTTTCGCTCACGGAACCCGCGAGTTGAGAACCTTCGAGAACCCGATCTACAAATCGATGCTGTGCACATCGTACGATCAAGGGGGAATTTGTCAGATGGGAACTGACTGTCTGCTTGCTCATGGAGAAATTGAACTAAGATTCGATGATGTGACGATTGCGACCGTATCAACTGAGGATGAGAACACTGCCCCAAGTTTGACCAACCAACAAACGAAAGAGCTGAAGAAAAGTGCATACAAGGTGGGTCTTTTCGGTACATAAGATAAGAAAGAATAGCGAATTTCAAATTTTACTTTGTGAAATGCCCGTTTTCAATGTTCATTTTGGACAGCATTTCCTTTAAAATTCAGTAAACATTTTACATTGACCGAGAGCAAATGATCCGAGCTATCATCTGTGAAAATATTAATATTTGATTTCGATTACCTACCAAGGTAATCCGGCTCTGAAAATGCCAGTTTTCCTCATCTGCACTAAGTTTTGCATCGTAGTGAAATCTTTCTGGAATAATGGGGTAAGAAACTTGTTCATGCAACGTGAAATATTCTCAGCGAGAAAATGGAAAGAATCAGTGCGAAATTTTTACTAAACCCGACGTTTGTTATTTTTGGAGCCGGAATACATTGGTAAGTCATTGAATACTGGGGTAAGAAACTTGTTCATGCAACGTGAAACATTCTCAGCGAGAAAATGGAAAGAATCAGTGCGAAATTTTTACTAAACCCGACGTTTGTTTTTTTTTGGAGCCGGAATACATTGGTAAGTCATTGAAACCAAATATTGAAACTTTCACAGATGGTAGCTCTGATCACCTGCTCTCGGTCAATGTAAAATTTTTACTGAAATTCGAAGGAAATGTTGTCCAAAAAGTACATTGATTACAGGCATTTTACAGAGTAAAATCCTGAATTTGCGCTTTATTTGGTCCACTAGTGTAAATTCATAGAGGGCAGTTCTGATCATCATAGAGGGCATTCTATGTATGTAAAAGTTTCGTTTTTCAGTAAAAGTTGTCCAAAATCATCCTTGAAATAGACATTTCAGAGGGAAAATTTTGGAGTTGAGCTGAATTTTTTCCACTAGCGTATCACAAATGGCAAAAACTGGCTTTTCCAGACCTAGAAAAAATTGGTAAGTATACTGGGCGACACTGAAAACGCAAAAGCAAAAATTCGACGAGCCAAAAATTTTTTTCAATATGAATGTTTTGAAAGCATGCAAAATTCATATGCTTGCTCTGATAGTAAAAGATAGTTAAAAACTAAGTCTCAAAAAGTTTTTAGGGCAAAAATAACATAAAAAATGTTCTTTTATATCTAATTCATTTCATGGAACTAACTTTTGTACCCTAAATTTTTCAACGCTCTGGAAAATTTTCACCTTTCTGGTCAATAAACTAAATAAGACTGAAGGATAAGCAATAAACACATTTTATATTTGCATCAAAACTGGGTTTTCCTGGTTAGTTTCGTGCATATATTTTTCCAGGCTTACAAAGAAACTCAAATTTGGAAAATACTCATTTGTAAATTAGGTGCTGAAATATGATCAAATTTAGCCTAAAAGCTTCAGTTTAAAAGATTTCACAGTTTCTTCTACCATGTCCTTTTTGAGGGAAGTTTACTTGATGATGCGTTTTTAATATCGCTCAGTATACTTCAAACTGTAAAGTAAGACGTTCAGAGAGGGTAGTTTAGATCATTACAGGCAGTCGATGTAAAAATTTTGGTAATATTCTAAAAGAAAGGTTGTCCAAATGGTTCCTTAGAATTAAGCATTTTGGAGAGTAAAACCTAACTTTGCGTTTATTTTTAACCATTTGTGTAAATAAAGATAGTTAACACATCGAATAATTTTTAATGGCAGAAATTGAAGATAATTGATATGTAAAGGAGGTTAAAACGGCGCGTTTAATTATGCCATATGTTAAAGAGCGCGCTATGTATTCACTTCATGCGACAAGGAAACTGTAATCTGGGGAAGGGTTGTGCATTCGCTCACGGAAAGGAAGAACTGACGAATGTTGCCCCGCCCGACACCAATGACCCGAAGTACAAGACGAAGCTGTGTCTGCGCTACGAACAGGACAGCTTTTGTCCCAGCGGAGAGCACTGTGTATTTGCTCACGGGGAAGACGAGCTGAAAGCGCAAAGTGGATCGGCTGATAAAAGTGGAAAGCTAAGCCTGTTGTACAAGACTAGTCTGTGTAATAACTTCGCAACTTTGGGAATGTGCCCTAATGGAAAGAACTGTTCGTTTGCTCATGGAAAATACGAGTTGAGACCCGTTGGATTTGATGGTAAGTCTTATTTTAGAAGAATAACGTGCTGTTCTATTCCGAAATAAATAATTATAAACTATTGCATGAACCATATAATTAACTTGCTTAAAAGATGTAAGAGCTTGTCGTTTTCTCGCGGGAATGCATTACAGATTTAAGAACCAATTAGTGGTAACTTCCCAAATGGCATAATTCCCAAATGGCATAAACATGGAAACTTTTCCCAAATGGCATAAATTTCAAGTTTTCATTGTAATTTAAACGTTTTCTATCAATTTCTAACATTTTGTCAGGAACGAAAGCATGTGAACAAGATTTGGAATTAATTGCTTCCAAACAAATTTAAGCCACAGGTTTGCCGAAAAAATTTGACCACAAGAAGCTTATTAATAACCGCAAGCTGATGCTTCTTGCTTTTGATAAAAAGTTCTACAAGTTTTTCACGATAAAAAGTCAATCAACATTTGAATTGACAATTTGACTAATTTTCTCACATTGTTCACGAAAAAATTGTTCTCGATTTTTCCAAAGCAACTGTTGCATGAAATTTATGCCATTTGGGAAATATTTCATTTTTATGCCATTTGGGAATTATGCCATTTGAGACGTAATCCAATTAGTTTTTAAAGGAGATTTCGAGGCCAAAATAGCTGAGAACCCGAAGTGGAAATGCCTCAAGTGCAACATCTACGTCCAAACGGGACACTGCAATCGAGTCAACTGTGACTTCGCTCACGGGGAGGAGGAGTTACGCAACGAGTTCCCCGAAGCCAGCAAGGCAGTCAAAGTCAAGGTCAACTACAAGACTGCGATCTGCAATAACTTTGCAGCACAAGGATACTGCTTCCACGAAGACAAGTATGTCTTTGAGAATTTATGTTTGTGTTGTTGGTCTTGTTTGTAGCTGCTAGAATGAGGGATCCTCATTTTTAAGAGTAATGAACGTAGTGAGTACTCTCATATAGGTCTTGCTTTTTTTGTTTTTTTTTAGCAAAAAAAAATTAAATTTTGTTCACACTCAGCTTTGATTTTTCGCGGTTTGACTTTTAAGTTCAGTGCATTTCCATTGTTAAAAGGAAGGCAAACTCCACTATCGAACAGCAAAAAAGTAAAAGCCAGGAAAAACGTGATCGACTTCTAATTTCGAAAATGGAAATTAATTATCAGGTTTCCCAGCGAAATACTTTTACATATTGATCCAGTTTTCTCAAATTGGGTCAATTTTAACAAAAAGTGTCCATCATAAATTGTTCTACAAATTCAAAGAGCTTTTAGGCCATCTATTTTTTCCTTCAAATTTCAAAAGTTAAAGATATTGAAAAAAAAACAAGTCGGATTTTTTTCAGTTTCCTTTCGTTCCTTACTCTTTTCCAACTGTCAGTTGGCTATGTTTGTGTTTTTTTCTAAAACTTGTTAATCCGAACATATGTGTGGCAGAGTCTGCATATTCTCGATGAATAACTAATCAACATCATCAGCATTATTCTCGCTGTAATGCTGCTTTATTTTTGAATCTATTGAAAATAGGTGTTCGTTTGCACACGGCGAGCATGAGTTGAACAAAACGCGGGATGCAGCTGCTGCTTTGAAGATCATCCGAGAATCGGCTGTGCAGCAGAGAAAGAGACCTAAGATCGAGGCAGCTGCTGGGGGAGCTGAGTCCTTGTCCAGAAGTGGAGGGAACGCGACGGTAGCCGCTATGAGTAGCCCGACTGATCAGACGCTTTTCGCGGAGTTTCTTGAGTTCAAGAAGTTCAAACAGCAAAGCGACACAGCTGCAGCCGCTGGTTTGTTAAATTCATTTTTTTGTATTCAAAAAACGGCACTTTCAGAGTAGTATGTGTGCTCTGAACATGATTTTTTGATTGAGAGTTTTTACACATGCGAATAGTAGTGTAATATTACGAAAAAAAAATGTGCTCATTTGGTGGTACTTTTGGTATTTTTCAATTTTATCATTTTCAAGCCTATTTAAGCATAGTCAATTGAATAGCATATGCTATTGCTTTTTTTGGCTAGTGTTAGGTCCTGTTTGAAAAAACAGGTATAATGAAAATGTATGGAGTTTGCTGTTTTTTGTTGATTTTTGGAAAATGCTTTTTTGTTGAAATTCCAATTTTCTCAAAAACTACAGTGCAATTTTTCAAAAAATGGTGGCAATGGACAAACCCGCTGCTCTTCTATGTGCCTATATTTTTTGCTAGTCTCTTCTCATTATACCGCACGGTCTACGGCCTTCGAAAGTTTCAATAGAGGGATTTTGACCTATTTGTTTTGATTTTTTCTTTCTCTCAAATACTAAATGCACAAATCTGAAATAAAATTTTCAATCAAAAGAATAATTATGGGGATCTCCCCTTGTCAAGCCGCTAATCCCTCAATTCGGTAGAAAAAAAAATTATGGCCTCAAACAAGCACATTTCTTGACCTTTAGGTTAGACTTCAAAATTTTCCCCAAAAATTAACCTGCCAAATCGGAGATTAAGGGTTTAACAGAAATCAAAACACCAGATATTTAGTTTTCCCCTGCGCTAGCGACTATGCCCTCCGTTTTGAAAACAAATATGGCCTTTTTTGTAGAAAAGCAGATTTGGACTTAGTGAAAATCCATTTTTTGAAATTCTTACCATTTTTCTTTCAATTTCATCACTATTTTCGAAAACTAATAGCTAAATCTGATATTAAGGATTGTATCTAACAATTAAGGCGTATATTTTTGCCCTGCATATAAAGCCATTCTCATGCTTTAATACAGAAAAGTTTATGGATTTAAAAAAAAAAAATTTTGATTTTGATCGTTTTTTGGAATCTTTTTCACTTTTTCCGATATCCACCCAACCAAATCTGAGATAAAGAATTCAATTAAAAGAGCGAGTATTCGTTTTCTTATTTAAACAAGCAGCTAATCTCCTACTTAAGCAGGGGATTTATTAGGGTTTTGCGTGAAGTCCATTGTTTGAAATTTTGAAAATTACGCATTTCGGCATCAGTACAATAACAGTAAAACTTTTAAAATAGGCACATCCAGCATTAGCTGGGCCATTAGTTTTTTTTTCAATTGAATATGATGCAGATGCTAGGACGTGAGTGAAGTGACACTCCTAATCCTCAGGTCGGAGATTTAAATACGGAACTTTGGAATAGTTTTTTTTTGGCTAAAATGTTCGCTGCTTTATTGGTGGCTAGTGTTGGTAAAGTTACAAGCGGTCGTGGAGCAGATGTGAGACTGAGATACGCCTTGTCTCAAAACTTATTTTCATTTTTTTTCTAAGCTGTATTTTAAACTTCTAATTTTTTTCCTTTTTTGTTTTGCCAGTTAAGAGCTCTTTCTAAGAGTAATGAACGTAGTGAGGAATCTTATATAGGTCTTGCTGATAAGTCAGAAAATTTGTTCACGCTCAATTTTGATTTTTCTTCGTTTGACTTCCATTTTTAAAAGGAAGGCAAACTCCACTATCGAACTGCAAAAGTGTAAAGGTCACGAAAAACGTGATCGACTTCTAATTTCGAAAATGGAAATTAATTATCAGAATATCCAGCGAAATAAGTGTTACCTATTGATACAGTTTTCTCAAATTGGGTTAATTTTAATTAAAAAAAGGGTCCATCATAAATTTTTCTACAAATTCAAAGAGCTTTAAGGCCATCTATTTTTTTTCGAAATTCAAACGTTGAAGTCTCTGGAAAAACCAGTTTTTTTTTTTCCAGTTTCCTTGCGTTCATTGCTCTTTTCCAACTGTCAGTTGGCTATTTTTTTTGTATTTTCTTCGCTTGTGTTTGCAAAGCATAGCTTCGCCTCTGTAAACTCTTCGGACAAAGACTCAAAAGTTATCTAACATTCTTTGAATTGAAAATGCATGACTGTTAGAGCAATCAAAAAAACATATATTTTAATAAGATGTATTTTAATTGCTTTTTGGGTTTCTATGTTTTATAACCCTGTTTCTGGCTTTTTAGCCGTGGCTCCTGTTGCAGCATCTTATTTCAACTCGAAACAATTCGTCACGAAATCAGTGGTATCAACTCCTGGAGGATACTACGGTAGCACTTCTGTGGGAGAGGTACCATCCCAACCTTCTACCCAGGCATACTACGGATCATTAGCAGGGGGGTTCCGAAAGCAAGCGGCACCCGTTGATAACAATACTGCATTCGAACGTCAGAAGATTGCGTTTCGAGCAAATGCTCAGGCCGAGTATGCGTATTAAAAAGCTCAGAACAAAATTATGACCTAAGAGCTCAGAGAATGAATCTAAGAGACTATTATCTAAAATGATTACCTTACTATTTGTTCTGTCTATGATTTTGACCAATGATTAGATTCAATTATGATTAACTTAAAGTGGCTCTTTTTCCTTTTCGACCCAACCTCACATGAGCATCAGTTTTATGGTGTAGTGAGTGGTTTTACAATGTTGTTTATGAAGACCAAGTATGATTGTCATGGCCTACCTAGGCAGCGTGTCAATTTTCATAACAATCGGTTGGTGGGAACAGTAATTTTACGTGTAAAAATTCGCAGGTAGAGAAAAGGAAAAAGAGCCCTTAAAGTTAACGTTATAGATATAGTTTACTAATGATCAGTATATCTTATGTATAGTAATATGCATACGTGCTATAGATGTTGTATATTTAATTCTGTGTTTTATGAACCTGTTGCTCTAATGTCTATCAATGATTGTTGCTTGAAATCATATCTTCAATCCAGGAAAATTAGTCCGTTGTTACAGTTTTGATTGCCATTTTGGCGGTCTCTTAATTAAAATGGGCTTTAGTTTACTTGCTTGGTCCCTTTAAATTACTGTGGTCCTTAATAAAAGCAGAGATACAGTATTTGGGTTAATTCACTCAGTAAGCATTATTTTCTCTAAATTCCTAGTCTCTTAATTTCCTTATCTTGATGACACAACTTGCTTAGTTATAGCTTAGTGGGTACGAATTTGGTAACCAGGCTCAAAGTGTAGATTCGAACCCCGCGCTTGTTTTTGTTTTTAGGAAATAGGCGGGACCAATCATCTAGTTTTCTCACGGGACCAAACAAGTGAACTAGTACCTTAAAATGTTCAATGTGCAATATAAAAACTATTTATCTGATTAAATATTTTTGATCAGTTCTGAAGTTAAAAGAGTCTTGCTGGATTCTCTTTGATCTTGACATTATTTTCCCTGAATTTAAAATTCAATTCAATTTTGATTGTTTTTTTTTCTAAATCAAACATTGTTAGAATAAAAGGGAACCGATACTACGCTGATTAAGTATCCATTGCCGAAATCAGATTTCCCGTATTTCACGATTTGAAGCTCAGCAAGAGAACGCCTTACCAACTGTCTGTTGGCTATGTTCTTTGTTCCTGTTGAAGTATATTGAACCAGGGGCGGATCCAGGATTTTCTCGAGGGGAGATTTTCAAAAACTAATTTTTTGACCGAATTGATTGTCTGAGCGCTGTCAGAACACAGGAAAAGACCCTATTTTGATAAAAATTTCTCTGTCAGACAAAAATAGAGATCTCAAAGAATTACAGAGGGAGGACCCTTTGTGTCGGCAGGATGTCGAATCCCTGAGGGGAGGGGCGTTCCGCCACCTAAATCCGCTGCTGCGTCTATGATTGGGCTTTCAAAATAAAAATTGAATAATGAAATGGCTGAAAGGTTTTGATCAAATTTTTCAGTTATTTTTGCAAAGTTCTAGTGTTTCAACTGTTACAAGACAAGTTTCCTGCATGTTGCCTTCTTCTGTTTCGATTATCAGTTTTTGTGTACATTTACCTTATTTTTTGGCTATTTTAAAAAGCATGAGCTAAACCGTTCAATCAACTTGCATTCAATGCAGCTTAACACAATGGGGATCTCTGGTTCAAATCTGAAATATCTACTCCTTTTTTCTAGGAAAAAGTTTAAAAGTATGTTCACACTAAAATTTGATTTTTCGCGGTTTGAGTTTTGATTCTTTTCATTTGCTTTGTTGAAAGAAAGGTAAACTCCACTATCGATCAGCAAACGTATAACGATCACGTCTAGTTTCGAAAGTCGGTCGATTTCTAGTTTCGGATGTTGATTTTAATGTTCAGATTTTCCAGCGGAATAAAAAAGTTTACCTATTGTTCCAGTTGTTCAAGTTTTTCAAATATTAAGTCAGTATTTTTTTTTCGGTTTTCTTGCGTTCATGACTCTTTTCCAACTGTTGCTGGCTGTCTTCTTGGCTATACCTGCCATGACAGAGTGCTGGCTGAGGAGAGGCCTACACATTTTCAACTACCATTGACATGGTAGCAAAAAGAGTTTTCCTTAACCACACCTACACAAACAGAGTTGCACAAGGTTAACTTCTCGCGTTAATAGTAAATAAGGTTCATAACAAGCAATTATTGAAATCAATGCGCAGACAAGATAAATAGTATCAACTTGCGGTCTTTATGTAATATTGATTACGAACTCATTGAGTTATAACAGGAAAGGTAATAATTGGTATCCCTAAATATATATTCTAGTTTTAAAGAATTGTTTTATGTATCTAACTCAGGTGTAATGTTAAGTTGAATTGTTTCTTTGTGAACGAAGAGTTAACTAATTTATTTTTTCTTTCTTCTCCCAAAGGCGTTTTTAATATCATGGCGTAACCACTGGCTTTTCAATATCGTTTAACCGCAAGGATTACCTTATGAAGTTGGTGAATCATTTAACTATTTGGTAATTGGCTCAATAATTCAGAAAATCGTTTTTAAACTAGTTGATTTTTCTATACTTAATAGAAACACACTGGCAAGCTCTGATAAATTTGGTCTCATTCAGTACCAATTTTCTACATTTGCGAGAGCAAGTGTCTTGTCATCGGGAACTAGACTTTTTTCAGGTAAATTTTCAAAATCTGTAAGAACCTGAACTCAGTTATTGAACCTTAACAACTTCCAGATACATGTCCACTTGCTCTGGGAGTAACGCGGTTGTCTTTGCACATTTTTTTTCAGTAAAAATGAATTTTCCTGGCATTTTTTGTCTGCTGATCACCTGATTTTTCTTGAACTAAAAGCAATTTTCTTTGCAGTTGCAAGTGTTTCGAATTAGTCCTGTCATTTGTAAATTTGATTGCCCTGTTTTAATATAAATATTTTTTGCTTTAAAGCTTTATTTAGCCTAAGTGGTATCGGTTTATATTTTATCAGCTTAGTCTATTCATTTTATTTCATTTGAAGTACAAACTTGATATTTTAAAAAATAATTTTGGTTGTTTGTGGTGTAAAAGTTCAAAGTTTTGAAACTGGATCGCTCATTTTTTTTCATTTTTTATGCCATTTTTGTGTATTCTATCATCTCCGTTTCTATTCGGTAGCTTGCAATGCTACGCTTGCTTTGTATCGCAAATGATGTGAAGCTTCGCTTTGCCTCTGTGCGTTCGATTTAGTTTTTAAATGTTTTGTCAATTGACAGTTGCGTCTAACTTTTTAACTAAAATTTATCTGATGTAGAAAAATCTTCAAGAAATCGACTAAAATATATTTTTTTAGATTTGTGAAAGATTTGAATGGTTGGATCATAGAAAAGGGTCCAAAAAATTGAACTTAGTTGGGCATAATTTGAAGAGAGGAATTTCTTTCTATCAGTGTTTCAAATCCCAGTTTTAAGGTATCTGATTCTCCGGCCTGGAAAAATTTTGGTGGCAGATGTTTCAGGAATTTTTTTGTGTGTGATGGAAGTTGCATACCCTCAGGCTCCATGACATATAGGGCTACTGACAACATAAAAACAACAATAGTCGAATATGTAGATGTATCATAAAGGCTGTATCAGGCATTTTTTACAATCACACAATCAAAAAAAAGATGCTCAGGGCTTGAAACCCTGATATGTTTGTTGTTTTGCATCTGTTTCTTTTTTTCAGACAGCCGCGATGAGTGGTTCCTTCGATCTTCCGACTGGCGAAGACGGAGCTCCTCTCTGTCCCCCTGCCTACTCCTCAGAAGTGCCCCCCTCCCATTCCTCAAATGTGGCCCCCGCCACAGGCAGAAACACAGTACCTTCAAGTCCACAAATCGGATACGAGTCAGTAGATCTTTCAAATAACTTAACTTTTAATCTATCGCCCCTACCCTCACCCTCGTTCCTTGAGATTAAATGCAATGAAAGAAGTATAATTTTTAACAAAGGACGATTCGTAGCGGGTGAAAATTTTTAACTTATCTAAAGACTACTGTAATTATCTAATTTTCGTGCGTTACAAGCAGTCGTCCTTCGAAAAGTTAAGAATTGTTGATTGTTACGGGTTATTAAAAGTTTGAGATCTCTTACCAAAATCGGTTGATTGAAGTTGACATGAGTTACGTATTTGAATTTGAATTATTTAGTGAGCACGTTTATGCAGTCATAAGATACTCACAGGAAGGTAGACTTTTACAGAATAAGTTGAGGAGAAAGAAAAGCTTTATGTATGCTTTATGAGTGAGTTTTATATCATCAGGCGAAAAAATAATACATTGAAAATATTTCTATTTCCCTTCGCATACGTTTAATATATTGAATTTTACTTAGTTGCTTAGTAGAAAATTCATACGATCAAACCAAGTTGGGATATAAAGCAAAAAACGACCTTGAGTCGCTAACAAAGAGCGTCGCTCAACAAAAGAACTCAGTCTGGATTGTGGGCAAATAAGAGAAACGGACTATGCTTAGACAGGCTGCAAATCATTTCCTAGATCCTCTGGGAGTCGCAGAAAGGCTAATTATTTTTAAAATAATTTACCATTTTGAAGACGACACGTTTGGTTGTTTCAGTTGGTCCAGCCAGCCCCTGGAGGCGAGTGAGGTGAGGTGGTTTTTCGAGGACAGCAAGATCAAGAACAAGTGGCTCCCTTTCATGGGCGGAGACTCACTTGCTTTAGAGAACCAACACAGGTACACGCATGAGGAATTTGCCGAATTTATAGACCTATGCCATATTATTACACTTGCGAAGCAAAGTGTTATAGTACGAACTTTCTTTTTTTCCATGCTAAGTCGCAAATATTGTTGCGACTTGAAGCAACTATATTTGCTGCATCGAATTGGCAATACAAAATAATTGGCAATTTGTTGCACCTTTACAGCTTATTGATAACATGTGCTTTTACGTTCGAATAATTATAAGCTTACTCATGTGATGCATTTTAAATTCATCAAGTGAACCGAAGAAAGCTATTTGTTTCAAACGACATAACAATAATAAAATCTCGATTTCAGAAATTTTCTAACTCAATATATCTCGCAATTTTTTGAAACGCATAATTTATACATAATGTGGCTTTTAATGTGCCATTTATTATATGCAAAATTGTATCTTTTTGTATTTGGTGCTACTTTTGCTGCATCGAATTGGCAATTTATTAGCATATGTAGCTGCGTTGTTGGTGGCTAATTTTTGGGGATTTTAGGCATCCGTGGCTGATTGGTTAGTGTGTGTGACTCAAATTTGCTAGATTGGAGTTTTTGCTAAGCCTCGAGTTTTTGCAAATTCGAGGCTTATTTCTACGTTTTCTTATGTCACTTGATAGAGCTGCTTTGTGGTCGCGTTCTCGCAAGTGTTATTATAATTTTATGTTGACCCCTAAGATAAGCAAGGGTATTGCAATAGGGTACTAGACTTTTTCCCATTTAACAACTTTGTCCAGAGGACTCATCTGGACGTCTAGACTCGTCTCTACCTTGATTCATAATGTATTCAGGTTTCTTAGCGTTCTCAACCAATTTAGCGTAGAGGTAACTATTATGCCTGGGAGCGCGAAGGTCCTGGGTTTGAAGCTGACCAGGACCTGTTTTTTTTTCAAACAGGAAATATTCTGTTTCAAATAAAATTGTTGGCCAATTTTTTGTCTGCTTATCTGTTGTCGGCTCAGTTGTCACATCTTGAAATTATTTTTTTTTCTGCTCGCATTTTTCTCTAATTTTGTTTTTAGTGTTTGATTCATGCCGATAGTTTGTATTTTAACTTACCTTGACTTCGTATCTTCTTTTTTGTTTCGCTAAAAAATCCTGGGCACAAATTATTTCGGCCTAATTTTCATCGGTTGATTGACCTACTTTTGGGCCGTTTCAAGATAAACACAACTTTAAAAGTCCCTTTAGCACTTTTCAAGTTGATTGTCTGTTTTCCAATCGGTTTGTTGAATTTTTATTTTTTTTCGGGTTGGAAAATTTTTTCACCTTCTGCAAAAATTTAGGTTTTTCTCAGAAAATTCTCTTGATTTTCAAAAGGGGGCATCAATTTAAAGACCGCTTACTCCCGTGTGTGTCTGCATGCTCAATTAGAGTCTTTGTTTACTTGAACCCCCTGTCTACGGCCTTCGAAAAAGTTGGGGGATTTTTTTACCCATATTTTAGATTTTTTTTCTTTTCTCGAAAACTACCCCTCTCAAATATGAGTTTTTGGTTTCAATGAGTAGAACTGTTTTAAAAACATCCCCTGCATAAGTGCCTAGGCCACTTTTTTTCTACGTTTCGCCTCCGTTTATATATGATTTCATCATTTTTATTTCCGACCATTGAAACTGTGGAGGAACTTTGTATTCGGGTGTGTTTTAGTTTTTTTGTTTTCCACACAAAATCAGGTACCACAAATAATCATCGGACTGGGTCGAGTGATATTTCATATTATATTCGTGATTCAAACCACATTAAAAATTTCCGGTTTGAAATTTTGGTTTGAAATTTGGTTTGAAATTTTGATTTCGTCTTATTTCGAGCAAATCATGCGAGCGAGCAGTATTATTTTAATTGGTTAAAGCTTACAACAGCCTAATTAGGTAAATTTAAGCGCTAAAAACTTAACTTTAAGCAATTAAAATTAGTTTTTGATCTGATGTTTTGTAGCTCTATTTCAGGCGCCAAAAACTTTAAAAAGTTAGAAAACTTCTGCAAAAAAACTTTGAAATTTTTTTTTTGAATTTTTCTATCTTTTGTTTTTCTATTCACTTTTTCAAAATATGTATGTGTCTAATTTATTTATTTCACTATGGATATCAAATATGCCTGAATTATAGTTTTACATGAGACTTTATTATCACCCCACGCAGAAAGAATTTCACTAATTTGCAAAAAAAAAAGTTTTTAGTTTTTTAAAGACTATGGTCGGAACATGCTGTGCTACTTGCACAATAACCGGCTATCCTTGTTATATGTTATTATTATATTTTTATCTTAATGTATATTATATAATTTTATAGACTTATGAATAAGCTTCGGTGTCCTGAGTTTATTGTATTTCAAAAATAGCCGAGTAAAACCCATTTCGTTTTGCATATTTTGTTGTCTCCGAATCCCATTTTCTTTCTTCTATAGATTGATATTAAGAAAAAACGTGAAAGAGGCGCTCATTCTATAACATCCTCTCACACTCATCCACTACCCCCGGAATAAACCAAGTTTGAGATCATTCTTGGCATATAAACCTACGGATGTGATTCCACCCTTCGATCAATCCTCTAGGCGATCACTTAATCCACATCGAACCGAATGTGGTTAGAACTATTGAACTGCGATTAAGGTTTTGAAGCTAGCCTGCGTAGATGATATGAATTTTTCACCATTCATTGATTGATGAAAAATCTTTGTAAAACTAGTTTTGATACTTCTTTTTACTATAGAAATAAGAAATACAATTATATACAATTAACTTAAAGAAATTCTGATTTTTGATTTTGCCGCATTCAGAATTGTTTGCTAATATTTTTTCGGTATCATCTGACCGCGTTTGTGTTCTACTCTAGGGCCTGTTTGAACGGCACAGCAGGCGAGCAGAGGGTGTTTGTGAGGGGGAAGTTGTACGAAGTGTATGTCAAAGAGAGAGTGTGCAAGAGCATCTACTGGCCAGGTACTTATTGTAGTGTCTCCAAATCGACCCTAAGTCTTATAATTGATACTATTCCTCTTAGTGGAGCTAGGTTTTTTTGATTAGTTTCATTTTGGCATTTTGAAGTGCCATAAAAATCTTAGGTATTTTTTGGATATTTTTGGCTCGCAGCTTCCTCTATGATTTGAAGCGCCAAAAATAATTGGCCAATTTTGTTTTTGTTTAATCTTCATTCATAATCATACGTTTAACCTCTTGTTTATTCACCGCATATAATTGATTTTTTTTTGCACGGTGGTGAATGGCATTGATGAAGATCGTTTTACTGTATGCCAAAAAGCCGAAAACAAGATAACCATTCCAACAAGCCGAAAATTAATATTGTAAAATATTTTTCACTGTTGTGATGCAATTAATACGTAATTTTGATGTAATATACGGTATTCTGGTGTAATTTTGGCGGTGTTTCAGAAGATTCCGTAAGGGTCTTGCGAGGTTCGTGGTTCAACCTGAGGACATGGCAGCCCCTCTCTGAGGTATCGGCTGAAATGTTGGAAGCAAAGCAGGCCCAGCTATACCCCTATGGAAGTGTGACCAAAATTCCACCACGCAAGCCGAGCGAGAAACCAAAATGTACGTGGAAGTATTTTGAGGTCTTCGGCCTCATTTGAAGCTAATTGCTTGCTCCGTATGAAATGTCATATTTGGTTTTTTATTTTCTACAACTTTGGTAATGCTTCGTCAGTCATGCGGTACCTCATTGAAATTTTTCATGAAAGCATCAAAACAGTTATTTTGGATGCAAACTTTTGGATGCCTCCAGAATGAAGTCTTTCAGAAGGCTTGAAAGTTAACGTTTTTTTTTCTTTAACGAGCTGGCGAGAGTATATAAGATCAATTCATTTTTTCCAGCAAAAATCGCACTTTTTACTGCAAAGTGTTGTGCAAAGTTAAATAGCCGGAGCAAGCTAGATCAGCTACATGGAACCGCCTTCTTGGCTGCCTGATGTCAAAGAAAAAAGTTAGTGTGAAAGTATTTGCAGAGAAGTCAGGCGTAAGTAGTTAAGGCAGTTGACTCTTGGTCGGTAGGTACGTGTTTGATCCCGTAGTCTCATTTTTTTCCTTTTCCTTCTGTTTGTGTGCAGCTTCCTCTCTGTAATCATTACTATTTTTTTTGGTTCCGTTTTATCGGTTTCAGTGCCTAGAAGTAATTTTTGAAACTCAATTTTTTTGTTTTGAAAGCAATTTTAAGTTCACGATCTATTTTTAAGAGTCGATCGATAAACGTAGTTCAGACTCTTATATAAGCCGTGATGAATTTGTTTTCCTTTTTTTTTTCAGGAAAGTCTTCAAATTTGTTCAGGCTCAAATTTAATTTTTTTGCGGTTTGACTTTTGATTTTTTAAGTTCAGTTCATTTCTTTTGTTAAGAGGAAGGCGAACTCCACTATCAAACAGCGAAAGTGTTAACGTCACGAAAAACGTCAAAAAAAGTTCCATACTTATAATTTCGAAAATTGAATTAAAATAGTTTCCCAGCGAAATTTTGCTTATTGATCCAGTTTTCTCAAATTGGGTTATATTTATCAAAAAAAAGTAAAATGATAAGTTAGAATTTTGAGCTCTTTTCTTTTGTTCTTTGAATTTCGAAGGTTGACATTTTTCCTTCTCTTTTGCGTATTGACTTTTTTCCAGTGAGTTTATTGACTCTTTTCCAACTGTCTGTTGCATATGTTCAGGTTGGGCCGATGCAAGATCCTTTATATCAATGCAAAGGCCCTAGCTACGAATCTGGCCAGGACCAATTCATTCAAACTGGAGTTTTTCCGTTTCAAAAAAATTGTCGGCCTATTGTTTGTCTGATTGTTTCGTAGGCTTAGTTGCGATATCACAGATATCTTTTGTCCTTTTTTCCAATTTTCATTGTAATTGCAAGGCGTTTAATGTAGTTTTAAAGTATAATTTGAGTCACGTTTGTTCGCCGGCTAGTGATGTCATGAGGCGACCTTCGATACCTCATTATATTCTATTTACTTATGTATTGTCTTATCTAACTATATCTTAATTATTTACTTAGTGCAGTAAATTGATTCAAGGACAAATCTCACCAGCTAAATCGTTTGTCACTTGAGATTCGGAAGCGGTCATTCGCGAAAGCCTTAAGTGTGAAATCTAGTCATAAAACATTATACATTAAAACTATACATTCAATTCTGGATTCGATAATCATTTATTCGTTACTTTATTCTATCTATATATATATCCTATCTAATTCAATATCCGAATTTTATAACATCTTTTTCCCTGCTCAAACTGAGGGAAATCTCATGGCGCAGCCAGCAGTTCCTGTGAATGAAGACAGGACTGACCTACTCGGAATACCACCCTTTTGGGCGAGAACATCGGTTAACCCACTTTTCATTTGGGAGACTTGGGTGGGACAATTTTTTTTGGCGGTGAGTCTCAAAGACAACATCTCACCGGGGGAGTTACTAGTTGCCCCAGCAGAGTTAGTGGATGAACCTTACCCGAAGCCCGAAGCACCGGGTGCTGATGAAAATGCCGCAGATGCGGCCAATAGGAACCTCCGAATTGCAGCAGCTAATAGAAGAGTCGATGAGTACAGTCAAGAGGAGAAGAAAAGGACCTCGCATTGGAAATAACTGGTGTTACCATGAGGCAGAGGCGCGTTTGAAATCGCGACTTTTCTTCGCACTGGGAAATGAGGGAAAAAAACGATTTTTGGATTCTTACCCTCATTTGGAACTGAATACTAGCTCGTTCATAGATTTTCATAAGTGTTGTGAGGATGTCTTCAAGGCAGAGCGTGATTACACACTCGAAAGGATTAAGCTGTACAATACAATTTTCATGCAGAATAATGATTCTTTCTCATCATTCTACGCCCGACTTAGCGCTCAAACCGCGTTATGTAATTGGCCGATCGATCAGGAAAGAGCAACATTGAAAGATTTGTTCATTGGCCGCATTCGCGATGTGGAAGTTCAGAGGCAACTAATCAGAGCAAAAGCTACTCTTGATGATACTCTACAACTGGCTTTGGAAAACGAGAAAGGGGCTAAAACATCAGAACAATTTCAGAAATTGCTCCCACATAACAACGCTACTTTTAATTCTACAAACTCTATTCGAGTCAAACAGGAACCAACTTCGTCAGTACAACAATTTAAGAATCAAGGAAATAGCAGCCGGGGAGGTGGTGTATCTCGTCCTAACCAACGACAAAATCAAAATAAACCATGTTATTTTTGTGGCAACCCGTTTTCTTTGGAACATCGCCGGTCATGCCCGGCTAGAGAAGCTACTTGTAATGCCTGCAAAAAGAAGGGTCATTTTGCTAAGGTGTGTAACACTACGAAACGACGCGTTAACATGATACAAAATGAAGAGATGTCTACAGATCAAGAGTGTAATCTAATTGACGTAAATGGTGACAGCGAGCCGGAATATGGGGTCATGGCAATAGATGTTGTGCAGATTAACAATGTGGAGCTTCTAAAGACAGCGGGAGGACAACCAAGGAGCCTCAGCATTCAGTTACGGTCCGGTAACTCTTTTTTCTATTCCACGGTGGACACTGGAAGTCCCGTATCCTTTTTAAACAAGAAAACGGCGGATATACTCATGAAGCGGATTCCCAACATTAAATTTAAGGACATCGCGAGACATCCTTTAGACGTTACTTATGTCGATTATAACAAGAAACCAATTAAACTGTTTGGTTCTCTGGAAATCCCTATTACATCGAAGGGATGGAAAATCGATAACGCGTGTTTCTTGGTTTCCGAAAATCGTACTCGAAATTTACTTGGTTTGAACCTTCATGAGAAGTTAGGAATTGAAACGGTGCAACGCAGACCGGCAGAAGTTAGCTACGCCGAGGAAGATGAGGAATCGGACCCGACCTCAAAATTCTGGAGGAACCACTTTGTCAAAAGGTACCCTAATGTATTCAGCAGACTGGGGAGGTCTAAAAACCATAAAGTGTTCACAAATTTTAAAGACCCGTTGGTGCCCAGACAAGTTAAAGGCCGAAAAGTTCCTATACATTTGCAAGATCGGGTCACGGCTGAGATCAAAAAGTTAATTAAAGACAAGCACATTGAAAAGTTAGAAAAGTGTACAACGGATCATTTCATTGCACCCATAGTCCTAACGGCAAAGAAAGACGGGTCTATAAAACTCGCACTGAATGCTAAACCTATGAATGCCCAAATCTGGCAAAACAAATATCAAATGCCTAATATGCATGAATTGATTGACTCGGCGGCTCAAATTATAACTAAAGACACACCTGGGGAGGTGTGGTTTAATTCCCTTGACCTTAAATACGCTTTCAGTCATTTACCTTTATCGGAACTAACCAGTAGTCATTGTAACTTTAGTATTTTGTGCGGAGAGGCAACAGGCACATATCGATTCAAGACTGGTCTCTACGGACTGACGGGCATGCCTACGGAATTTCAGAAAGCGATGGACTGTACGTTACACGGATTGGAGGGTGTCATATGTTACCTCGATGATATACTGGTTGTCACTAAAGGAAGAGTTGAAGATCATAATGTACTAGTCGAAAGAGTCATGAGTCGATTGGATGAAGAAGGATGGGCGTTGAAACTTAGTAAATGTGAGTTTTCAGTTAATAAACTAGTCTGGTTAGGGTACGAAATCGATGAAAACGGTTACGCTCCGAAATTCTCCAAAATAGAGGCAATCAAATCCCTGTTGCCACCCAAAACTCTTAAACAGTTAAGATCGTTCATGGGTACACTCAATCATCTTCAACGTTTCATCCCGGATTTGCACAAATACACAGTCGCATTTAGAGCTTCGCTAAAAGCGGAGAATAAGAAATCCTTTCTGTGGGGGGAAGAGCAAACTATTGCGTTTCAAAGGATCTTAAACCTCATTGCAAACATCCCTAATTTGTTTCACTACGATGCTTCGAAAGCTTCGCGTGTTAAATGTGATGCCAGTCATAGCGGGCTGGGGGCCTGTTTGGAACAAGAAGTAGAGTCAAATGTTTGGGCCCCGATTGCGTTTGCCTCTAGGTTCCTAAACTCCGCGGAAATCAAGTATAGTACCAATGAGTTAGAGCTTCTGGCTATTGTATGGTCGTGCGAACATTTCCGTACATATTTACTTGGTACACGATTTGTTATTCTAACCGATCATAAGGCCATCATTTCCGCCCTCAATGAAACGTATGGTAAAAAATCTTATCAGTCACGACTCTCTCGCTGGGCGGACCGCCTCATTCCGTTCGATTATCAAATCGAACATATACCCGGTTCCTCTCTAGGCATCGTCGATTATTTGTCTAGATACCCGACTTTTGAAGTACCGTTGCCATCGTCGCATGACGAATTATTTGTCATTAAATCTATTCAAGCTTTTCATAATGCTTTAAATTTGATTAGTACTCAGTCTAAACCTCAAATAGTGCCGGTGGGGCAAATTTCAAAGTATAACGAGTTCCGACCAATCAGATCGCTTGGTGAAATTGGAGGCAACATTAGCTACCTCTTAACTCATACAACAGACCAATCAACGTTCGATTCATCTGACCAATCATACTGTTGCAAACAATTCAGTTCGTCGCCTCAAGAGGGC